CCAAATTAGATTAAACTATGCAAGTCAATTTTCCAGACGGCTTCAGGAATGCATAGCCTACAAACCTCACTCAAAACAGAGGCTATTTCTTTCTTAGATACACATTGTGGTTAAAAGCTGTTCTCACGGCTCGTACCTGCCGCAAACATAATGACCCATCACACAAAATTCCCTTTCTCTGCTTTTCTATTTATAATATCAGTGAGGCCACTGAGTGTACGTGCACCATTCCAGCTAAAAAAACACATCTTGGATGAATTATGGTTATTAATGTTTGCCGTAGTCTGCTGATTACATTTAGCATTTCGCACGAATAATGCAGGATTTGAAGAAAAATGATATGACCATCGAAGACAAGTTTATGCCCTAATATCACAGATGACAGGGAGACAATGAGCAAATATGTTATTGGGACTTAAGTTTGAGGTTTGAAATGGCACTTATTTTATTCAAGAAATACTTTTGGCGATATGACCCTGACTCTCGTCTTTCACCACAGGCTTACGGCATTTCACAGTAATGCTAATCATAAGCTGTGTGTCTCAACCACAGCGGAGGGCCTTAATATGAACCAATAATAAACAGTGGAGAGTCTCGAGATGGAGGCAGAGGAGAAGGGTAAAATGGCTTATCTCATCTGTCACTGTGGAATTAGTGGAAAATCAGAGTGGCTTTGAGAATATACGCTATCGATGAAAGAAATTCGCTGGCAGTAACCTTAAGTAGGCACATCAAAGGTCATAATATTGAAATTATAGAAGAGTAAAAATACCTCATGCATATCATAGGCAAAGTCCCCTGTAAAACAAAACAAAAGTCTACAGATTAGAAGGAAGTGTTTGTTAGCACTGCTACTTTCCCACAGTATAGAGAATGAATACCTCGGGTGCACTATGCCAAAATTAGTTCCCACCCAAAAAATGTGTTATTCTTTTATTATATGAAAAAGCAAATGGAAGATTTTTGGTAAATTTGCTTTATCATTTTTTTTAAGAGTTAGATGAGATTAATGCCACTCTTATGCTTAAAATGATGCAGTTAAATTATCTTAGCATAAAGACTGGAAAAATAGATAAAGATATGTCTATAATCTATGAAGTTATCGCTAATCTATAAAATAAATGTGATAAAAAAACATGTGTTTTTTACAGGGAGTTGCATGCTGGGATTTTTTTAGTGATCTCAATATATTACGACTTTGTATATTCATCCCCCAAATGAATCTTATCTGCTGTTGGCTATAGGTTATATAAAGTGTACATTAATAAGAATGGCATCTGTTTTCTCATCTAACATTTTCCAAAAACCAAACTATACGTTTAATAAATAAACATTGGGCTAGCGTTAGCCACAAGCAAAATTGTGATCCCACTTTATGAGGCAATTAAATTAATTATATTCTCTGCAAACGTGTGAAGTGGCCGTAAACAAGCGTTTCATTTGGTGTTTCATTTGATAAACCAACAAAATGCAAAGATAAATTATGCTGTAATTTTATTATCCTGGCATTTAATAAAAGACAGGAGCCAAAAGCTGTAGCGCCAGGGATTTGGTCGATCACAATTCAGCATCCAGCACATATTACTCAAAAACAACCATGAAACAGTCATTTCTATAATGATAAATATACCACTTGAGTGGATTTTATTTGCGTTACCACAATCTATTGCACGCTGTGCCAGGTATCTGTGTATGACTGCAGCCTGAGGCAACAGCTGCTACATTTTAATAACTCAGCAGCTTTCACAGTTCGAATTGTTGTAATATTTCCATCCGTGTGGATCTTACCTATGTGCAGGATGACATCGTACATGCCGAGCTGCGTCTCCTTTTGCAGCCGAGCCAGAGACTGAGGGTTCTCATTGCCCAGGTCACCATACAGAGCAAACCTGGGGCTGAAGCTAGCGCTGTCATTCAGAGCAGTGAAGAAGAACACATCGCTCCAGCCCTCATCGCTCCCACAGTGGTAAACTGAAAGTGCACAGGAGGAGAACAAATCTTTAACATGAGTTATGGTACAGAATGTCGGAAACAGAGTAATATCAAAGCTCCACCCACCATACGTAGCAGCAGGTTTGAGGCCTGTGAGCGTGACTCTGTGGATGTACATCTTCCTCTTCTCCTCTCCTGAGTCCACAAACAACGTAGCGTCGCCTTTGGCACTCATGTCAAAGAGCCGACCTCCCATAAGGCCGTACTCCACCACGCTCTCTGTCTTGTTCAAGGTAGTCCAGGTCACTACCATAGAGCCTGGCTCTCCTGTGAAAGAAAGCCCAATCATTGGAATTGTGATGTGGATTGACCTGACTGAACAACTGGATTCACTTACTGATGCATCTATAAAACCTAAGAGATGCTTATGAAAAGGCTGACTTTGCACAAGTGTGGTCCTTTTGATCTTGCCGCTGGCAGATAAGCAGACTACAGGCCAGGTACTCATTTCATCAAGACATGCACGCATTTCATGAATACCACAGTTCACCTTCATGGGCTATGCTGCACAGACTGTTTGAAACAAGGAGTAACATCAGCTATTTGTATAAAGGGTAAGGCAATTATTTGGTGTCTCTAACCTAAATGACTTACAAAAAGTGCACAGGTGGTGTTTTCAAGTAACAGGACACTTAAATGGGATGTTGCTGTTGCATTAAATAAACCTTAAAGATGCACCAAGGCCTTCAGCTTTATATCAATTATCAGCCCTGTGTTAACTTGAATTTGTGTAGAAAACTTAGTTTTTCTTGGATAAATGTCCATTTGTTATTACTTTATAACAACTGGGCCATGTATTACAACAGCCAAGCTATATCAGAAACATTTGTATAAACTCTCACACACTTGTGCGGTATAATCAAACTTTTCCTCAAACGTACTATTACTATATCTACTAACTTACTATTCACAAAATATAGTGCTCACATAGATGAGTTGCATGTGAGATTGTTAATTCTGAGGTATTTACTTCAATTCATGAAGACATTTCTGTTGTGGGTGCATGAAAGAAAAACAAATGTTTTTCATAAATTCCACACGAGCTGAGATAATGATAAACAAATCATCATTCTCGAGGTAGTATTGCTGCATAATGTATTACATGAATCACACAGACTTCGGTGAACCTGTTGCATATCTTCAGTATCCAATGTTTAGCTGCCAAAACATACCAGTGCTTTCAGTTATTATATTATTGAGTGATTTGTACAGAACATCTGTGAATCTGCAATGCATATGACTTGGATACTGGTTTGTATTGCTGAGAGGAAAAGTGTATCCCTAAAAGAAAACACATGATGAGGCTGATGGAAACAGTTGACACTAACCTGGATAGGAGATGTGAACCTGCTCTGGCTGGGTCCAAATGGGAGGAACACCGAGCACCAACAGGGGTGCGAGGCTCATCAAAACACAGGCAGCATGAACAGGAACCATTTTGAGACTGAATACAGGAACAACAGCCTGGATAAAGAAGCAACACACACCCAGGACATCAAATAATCTTGTAACTCTAATCACATGATGTTAAAAGCTTTCATGCAGACATCACATGACACAGTGTCTATTGATGTAAAACCAAGAGGATCAATGTTTTAAAATGACAACCCGTGGGATGAGAAATGCAGAACTTAAACCGCAGAGTCAGCAGCAGAGAACAGATGATGTGACAATAAAAGCAGCTGATGTTGTTTTTCATTGTGCATTCAGGGAAGTCAAAGTGAGTTCAAGTACAGCAGGGATTAGCTTCCACAAGCCACAACTTGCCTCTGATCAATAAAGTGCTTAGGCGAACAGCTGATACTGTATGCCTGACTGATCAGAGGAAAGGCACTCTCAGGGTCATTACTCACAAGGGACAAAAACAAGTTTGATTTGAGCCAAAACACAATGCCAGTAAAACTCATTATCATTTGTTAACTGCCTCATCTGACTAGCAGACTCAAAACAACACATTTAGATCAAATCTGCTCCTTTAAAAAGGTCCCATGTCATGCTTTTACGGTTATTACCCGTCCCCTTGTGTGTTATGAAGGTTGGTATGCATGTAAACGGTCTGCAGAGTCAAAAACCCTCAAAGTACACCCTGTAGGGAGTAAAACTCTAACACAGAAAAGACCTCCCCAAAACGCCTCGTTGGAGATTTCTCATTTACTTCCTGGGTATCGCTACGCAGGGATACCCAGTAGCCACGCCCAGAGCTATGGCCGCACCCTCTGCCAGCCTTTCACGAAACAAAGCTTCCCAAACCTTTCAGCGATTCATGCCGGATATGTACAGCGTAGGGCACTGAAGAACGATGCTGTTCCTACTTTGTTTGGACCAGCGTTTCTGTTTGTGTATTCATGATGTTTAAAACTGTTGTGGAAATTCCACACTTAATCACCTTCTGGTAAGAAAAGAACAAATATACAAGCTTAAACCAAAGTTGTGTTATTTAATAAAGAGTTATAGCATTTAACAGAATCAATCATATTTCCAGCTGGAAAGGACAGGTCCTGCACTAGTAGATAGTACCAGGATCTGACCCCGTTCCACCGAAAAGCAATGTCATTTATACAGATGAGACATAGGAAGGAAGGCAATCCACATTACAGTCCCAAGAAGGGTGGGGGGCAGACAGAAGGGGAAGCACAGTGTGTTAATTACAACCCTAACATCCATATGATAATTGCCTGACAATGGTCAGGGCGACACCCTTCTGTCTGAGAACATTTTGTAGAAACCTACATGCATAAACAAGCTGTTTAGGACAGAGAGTGAATACACATACTTTACAGAGATGCTGTATGAGAAACCAATGTGAGTTTGGAAAATTGCACAGTATAAATCTATTTTAGTATACCTCAACAATGGAATTATGATCAGTAGAAATGGCCATGACATGGGACCTTTAACATAGTATTTGATTTTGTAATCTGCACCATTGATATCTCAGTAGTCGCTAGAGGGTGCTCCCTGCAAACTGCATTATGAATAGATGCTTTATTCTCTGGCAATGGGCGGCGGCAGTTGATATCGGTTGTTACAGTATGTTGGCAGTCGCTTAAAAGAGATACAAGGAAGGTTTAACTCTTTATTGTCTCCGATGAGGAATGGAAAGAGGTAAGCAAATCATTTAGGACAAGTTATTCGTCTTCTATCGACGCTGTTGTGATTTGAATCAGTTTCATAGACCAATGGTTGTAACGTTAACTCGTGGTAACTTGTGTTTAGTCGGTTTATTAAGCTTTATAGCTGGCGAATTCCAACCTCTGTTATCAACGTGTGTAGCGTTACGCAAACTATACCGTTACGACAAATAAAACGTATTTGTATGTTGTACATGATAACCCCTGCACTTTAAAGATAATGAATAAGCCTCTCCAAACGCTTAAACACTGTCTGACAAGGATAAGTTAGCTAAATGTTATATTAAAAACACTCACCAAACTATCTTTGTCCCGCCGTCGGGAGCACTTCCTGGTAACGTCACAGCACAACAATGCCCACGTGGATTGTGGGAAATAGTAGTGGTTAAGCCTGTGTAGAGTAGACCATAGAATGTATATATAGGTGTAGTAGACAGAACAAAATACAACATGAATGATAGATTTAGACACACAAACTATAATGGGTGTTGACAATGATAATCTGACTGTGTGCTTGTATTTGTTTAATCAGGTAGGCTATAACAATGTATTATAGCTGCTTAAAATGGCCTTCTCTTTCTTAAGGTATAATGGACTCTAACAGTGAAGATGGAGACTACCAAAGTCTTGAACATGCCCAGAAACAGGATGCAGCCCAGTACAGAGTGACGTATCCTCATGGTAGAAACACAACAAATGTGAGTAGGTTGACACATTGATATACACACATGTATTTCTATATGCTGGTCCTCTTTTACTGCTTATACTTGTATTGTTTATCACCATGCAATATCTTTACATGCAGATGGATAAAGATAAAAGTGAGGAATTTAGCAAAAAGAGGTAGGTCATGCATGTTTTTTGGTTACATTTCATATAATGCATGATGGGACTTTGTTTTCAACGTAAAGATTTAACTTTTTACCATGACCAGGAATCCAGTGAGTCGTTCCAGCAACCTGGGGAGAGTAAAGCGGGTAGTGTCATGTAAGAGAAAGACCCATCATCTGACGCCTCGGAGGAAGCAGCATGGGACTGGGAAGACTTATGATGCTGCAAACAAGGAGAATGACATGGACTGCAGGAAGGACGTTCAACAGGAGGGATTTGACATGAACCCTTCAGAGTTCCCGCTAAATGTCAATAATAACCTAAAGACTGGTAGAACTGGCTCTGAACAAGCCGACTACTGTACACTCACTGAGGTTAGAAATACTATCATAGCCCGGGCTACATTTCTGCTTCTTGCATTGTCTTTTATTTGTTACTAATATGCAGGTAAACCATCTGAACCTGACAATGTTTTTCAGCTCACAAGGGATCATAGCACAATGACTGAGGTGCTCTTTGGAAGAAACCTGAGACTGAAAGTATCTTTAACACTATGGCAGAGAAATGTTGGAGAGCTGTTGATGTATTTCCTAAGGTATGTAGTGTGTAGTTGGTTTCCACAAAGTGACACTATTTTCACTATGATTTCAAAAGTTGACATACTTAACTGTCTTTTTACAGAATTCAAGACATTGGTGTGTTTGTTGATTTTCTACCACTGATAAGCAAAAGGTGAGTGACTGAATAATTGCAGAAGTCTGAGTCTCGCTGCCTACAAGTTGAGTTAATGTTAAGTTAAAGGAAACCTATCATGCTATATTTAAATGATATATTGTAGGGCCATACCTATATAAGGTATATTTATACGTTTCTGGTTTCGAAATACCAAACAGATCATGCATTTTAGCCATGCCTCATTTCGCTCTATGTGTTGTTTGCTGTCTACGGGTCTGATTCTGCTGACCACGCCCCCCTGCAGGAGAGGTGAGCCGCTCTGATCAGCTGCTGGGCTGTCAGAAGAGGGGGAGAAAAAGAGATCTCCGTCCTCCGTGTTTTATTATATAGAGTCGTTATTCATTTGTTTTAAAGCTCAATAAATAACAAAGAAGACCTTTGACCGGCACTTTTCTAATTTTGTCCGGAAGATTTAAACTTTAACGGACATCTTGACCGGCAAAAGTAACTGAAACTGAAACTCTGCCGCACGGTCCCCTCGTTCCTTGGAAGAGGCGGAGAGGTGGGTGTTTGTCATCTGCTGGTGGACTAACCGGAGAGAATTACAGTGCTTGCCTCGACGGGGAGGGATTGCATTGCATTAAAGCAGCGGGAGCAAACGCTTGCCTCGGGGAGGGAGAAAGAAAGCCACAGCGGAGAATAAACAGAATTGTAACCATGGTAACCAAGTCTTCTTCGCTGCTTTTGTGGCAGACTACAGCGCCACTTACAGGCCTGGCATATGTACTACAGCGTCTCCAGCACTTTCGAACGGCAATGGCCGTGGCTGTCTCCTCCTGATTGGTGGAGTTGGCCCAATAGCCGTAGCGCCACTTTCCTGACGTCAGTAAAGTGTTCAAATCTGGATCAGTTTTTATCAGATCCGTTGCAGCTCCTTTTTGAGATTTGGGTATGGAGGAAAATAGAGAGGGTTGTGTTTTCTGACACTTGGTGAGTTCCCTGGAACACCGGGGACACATATTTATGTATAAAAGACGTACAAAAGTGCATTTTGCATGATAGGTCCCCTTTAATCTAATTTTCTTTTCAGCATTGAAGAACATTCCCAGAAGGTCACCATTGGCTGTTGTGTTGACCTCTTTCCTTTAGTACGGAGAGTCCTAACCAATCCATATGAAGAGTGAGTGTTTCTGGTGAAATGTACTTCTAGTTTTGCAATGGAATTGAATTATTACAGAATAAAATGCATTGAGCACTTACAGAAATCAACAGTATGTGTAAGGATAATATAAACAATTAAGTACTAATACATTAAGATATTTCTTTTTTCTCACAGGTATATCATAGTTGGTTTAAAGTGGATTAATTCAGTTTTGAACAGCTGGTGTGAGGAATTAAGAACAAGTGGCTATAGTGGATCAACAAAGCTTCCAATGGATAAGTAAGTGCAGTTTTATGAGTTGTATGATACTTCAGACTGATTAATTCTGCATAGATTCACGTGAAGTTGTCTTGTTGTTAAAGCATACCAAAATCATTAGGACACATTTAATAAAATAAAACATATAATACCATCTACCATTTAATACAAGCCAGAATGTGCCACTATTTTCAAAAACAAAATACACATCCATTGTGGTAAAGTATTTTTACTTTGTTTCAGAAATTTCCAGGCATTTAATCAGCAGTTATTGGAGTTATGGTTTCAGGAACCTTTACTGAAATCTGTTCCAGGACCTGCTGGAGACATGGCAAAGGTCAGTACTGCATGTATGAATAACATCCTTACCACTTTCTTAATCTAAAAAGGTCTTAGTCTTACATCATGATCTTTCTCCCTAAGGCCATTGACTCCTTCCTGTCCCAACTAACCTGACGGCAAAAAGGAAACGTACAAAAGATCTTTCTCCAGGAGCAGCCTCCTAAAACACCTTTAGCAGAATCATTTGGAGCTGATGTTGTTTCTATGGAAAAGTACCTTTGAGCTTGTACTGTACCTGTCCTGAGAGGACATCTGTAGTGATGTATTTATTGACTGGATGATAGACTTGAAAAGTTTAAATACTGAGAACGTGCAATACAAATGTAATCCTGTTGCAAATGTAACTTGATTGTCAAAGTAGGATCCTGTAATCATATGATCAATGAGAGGTAAATAATGTATGTCAAAGAAACTCGGATTGTGTCCTGAATGTAAAATTGTTATACTGATATATTGTTTGTGTCTATCTTCTTTGATTGAACCATTGATGATAAATAAAATGTGTAATTTAAATGTAAAGTTTGTTGTTGAAGTACAGTATATTTGGTACAACCAAGGCAACGTTTATAAATCCCCTTTTTCAGCAGGAGAAGTGGTTTTACTTCTGAAACTGCAGCTGCTTTAACGACACTGTTCTTTACCTTAAAGTGGACCTATCATGCTATATTTGAATAATATAGTGTAGGACCATACCTATATAAGGCATATTTATACTTTTTTTTTTTCAAAATACCAAACAGATCATGCATTTTAGCCATGCCTCATTTTGCTCAATTTGACATTTTTTAGCTCTGTTTGTGTAAGGGCAGATAAGGGCAGAACAGCACCATCTACTGGCCTGGCATATGTACTACAGCGTCTCCAGCGCTTTCGAACGGCAATGTCCGTGGCTGTCTCCTCCTGATTGGTGGAGTTGGCCCAATAGCCGTAGTGCCACTGTCCTGACGTCAGGACAGTGTTCAAATCTGGATCAGTTTTTATCAGATCCGTTGCAGCCCCTTTTTTAGAGATTTGGGTATGGAGGAAAATAGAGAGGGTTGTGTTTTCTGACACTTGGTGAGTTCCCTGGAACACCGGGGACACATATTCATGTATAAAAGACGTACAAAAGTGCATTTTGCATGATAGGTCCCCTTTAAGTTAAAGCACAGTTAAAGGAATAAACTTCCAGATCAACAAAACACATTTGAGGTAAATCCCTACAATTCACAGTCTCATCTGAACTTCAGTCTCATTTGCTATTGAAGTGATTTAAGTAGAGCAGAGATGAGTGTTTGCATAGATCATATCTCTCCATTGACATGTAGGTTTACCCCCCATGACACAGATAAGTGGAGGGTTGATAGTTTTCATTAGGATGCGAAACTGAGGCTGAAGTCCAGCTGTGACTGCAGTAGAAGGCTGTGTGAAGGGACCTGCAATCTGAACTCTCAGCAGCCAACAGCCCTGCATGTATTCCAGTGATTCTCAATCAACAAGTGGAGATTAATACAGTGGAAGTGTGGAAGATTTGGGTAAATACAACAACATATGTTATGCAGGGTTGTCCTTGAAGGTAAGGCACTACACCTTGTTAGTGTTCTGTTCATTTAGTACACTGAATTCAGTAAGAAGCTTACAGTGCTGTGTTATTAACTGTTGGTTTGACAGCAAAGGAAAGTGTAGTATGCAGTGTGTGAGATGCTGGCTGCTAGCAGCGACCCTGGTGCTGCTCAGTGTGGCTGGAGTCGACATGGAGTACCTCCAAGCTGAGAACCTACATCTTCTTCCCCCTGATGAGCACAACTTGGTCCTGAACGGTGGAATGAGAGGTATTTATTTGTGCAGACTTTTACTTTCAGTTCTTTTTGCTGCTTGATGTCAGTAATGTACTTTGCTTGCAGTTGTTGGGAATTTGAAATGGTCATAACTTGTGCAGAATCTTGAAAACTCAAGCTAACAATAGAGATATAGTATGCACTATGTGTCCTGTGTTGCTTTAATCATTTTAATTACTTTTATCTTAGATTATCAGTGTGGATTATCCAAAGAGTGAGGGTCAAATTCCAAACCTAACTTGCTTAGTGACTTATTCATGATTAGTGTTATGTCCCGTGAGGTGATTTGTGTATCTTAGTGAGATCATTTTTCAGACAAACAGTTGTAATAGTTTCGCAATTGATCAAGGTTTAACATGTTTACCTGGGAGGAATTGAGAAATAGTGCTGTGCTGTTTACATCAATGTTATGACTAATCACTGGCATTGCTGTTCAATGGCTCAGTGTCGTTTTTTACGCTGCCACCTGGAGGTTTAGATATGGATGTTCTCACATTGTTCAAAAAGTGGTTGCAAGATTAATAGTAGTTTACACTTAGAATTTTCAGGAAATATAGTTATTTAATGTATTGCAGGGAGCTACATTTGAAAGGTTTGACCAATGTGTACGATGCATCTGAAGCTAAATCTAGCAGCCTGTTAGCTTCTTAGCACAAAGATTAGTTACAAGATCCACAATCAGCGACCAGCTGCCCTAAAACAATGCAGTGCTTTATCTTTGCATCTAATCTAATCGCAATAAAGCAAATTAGCAGCCACAATTTGAGGGGCACCTCTGCTTCAAAATCCTACTCAATGTGACAAGTATCAATATGGAAGAGAGTAACAAGCACCCAAAGAAACACAATGACTTCAAAGAGACACACATTTTCTACAAAGAGAGACAAACAGGCTCCTGATATTAAAAATGTAATCATCTAAGGATACATGAAGGTTGATTGTTCCATCTGTTTATCATACCTAATCTATCAATCACCTGTCAGGACTTAAATATACATTTACCCAACAGTGCTGCCCAGAGACTGCCATGAAATGCTGATGACCTCTTCGGGCAAGGCCAGAGATGGGGTTTACCTGATCCAACCAGGTGACCTCCGAATCGTGGCCTATTGTGCCATGCAGGAGGGAGGCTGGACCGTGGTGCAGCATATCACCGTCAATAGCAGTGTGGATTTCGATCGTACCTGGGCTGAGTACAAGAATGGCTTTGGGGCTGTAACTGGTGATCACTGGCTCGGAAACGAATACATTCATCAGCTCACCCGTGGCCCTGGGCGCTACACACTGGGAGTAAAACTAGTGGACCAAGAGGCCGTCACTAAGACGGGGGAGTATGATCCATTCCTGGTGGAGGGTGAATCATCAGCATACAGGTTGAGGCTGGGCTTGTTCCAGGGCTCAGCTATTGACGCTCTGACCCTGGACACAGAGAACTACCTGCATGACAACCAGAGGTTCACCACTAAAGACAGAGACAATGACAACTACTTCCAAAATTGTGCTAAGCTGGAGTTTCAGGGGGTGCCGGGAGGAGGTTGGTGGTACGACGCGTGTGCTGGTGCCAACCTCAATCGCAGGAATGTTATCTACTGGCAGAAGGACTGCAATAAGGAGCGACTGTGCAAGTATGCATGGATGATGGTGAGACCTTCAGACACAGTTAAACTGATTCAAAGTGGAGACTGCAAGAAGGATGAGCTATGAGGAACCAGGATTTGGCAACTATTGAGGGCCAGGAGTTTAGTTTTTTTAAGGACATTTTCTTTGTGCTGGACATGCAATTTACCACTTTTATTCAGAAATGCATGGACAGGATCACAAAATACTGAAAAGAACAAAAAAAGAATCACAAAATTGAAACACAGTATAAAAATGCAGTACATTTTAGCTCTAGATCCATTGATCACCATGTCAATACATGAAGCAAAAGGTCTCATAACTCCCCAAATTGCAAGTGCAGATTCATCACAGTTACAAAAAATGTTTCATGACATTATAGCTTATGACACATGTACATTTCTTTCCAAATCATCTCTGATCCAATGCTTATACGAAGGAACATTTCACAAATAGCATTTTATTTGCCACAGTACATTACACGTTTTCCAGAAGTACAATTGAAGCTATGATGACATATTTACTAAGCTACATTAATTCAGAGGAAGAAAATACTATATTTGAACGCAAAAAAAAATATCCTTTAAAAGTTACAATCTTGATTATGCAAGCAGGTTCTGACCTTAGGAAAACATGTATTAGTCCTTTAAGTTAAAATAGCAACTTTAAAATGTGCATTCTCAATACAAATAAAAAAATGTAAATACCAACAGAATACATTTGCATGTGTTATGACTTTTTGGGTGTAAGAGCATCAATACAGGAGTTATCAAAGGGTTGGAGCAATTTGATATGATACAGATGTTAAACTGTGCATCTTGAATACAACAACGGTCTGCGTAAAATAATTTCAGTATTAATCGATGGCATATCCTGCATAAGCACATCCATTTTGGGGGAAAATACTAGTATTTCCTTATGTTTTAGAATATATTTACACTGTCACTGTTTGTTTTGGGGCACTTTTATAATGTCTTCCATTTCCAAAGTTATAAACATCCACTATAGCAGAACAACTGATTAATTAGCAACATTGTAAATTGTACCAGCTCCTTGATACAGTTTTAATACTTTTGATACTGGGTAAAATTCAAGTTCATGAAGTCTACATTAACAATAGAAAGAAACATACCTAACAGCCATTATCCTAGAATAAAAAATAGTTCATGTCAGTTTGGAGCTGACCACAGGGTTTTGTCCATACCAGTAAAGTTTCTCCTCAATCCTTTTCTTCTTCCACTGGCAAAGTAAGAGCATACGGAAGGTCTTTTGGAAAGTCTTGTTACAAAGGGCGTAGCACATGGGATTGACGGTGCTGTTGACGTAGCACAGCCAGTAGCCCAGATGCCAGAGGGAGGGGGGAATGCATTCTGGGCAGAAGGTGGAAATAAGCACCATGATGTTATATGGCGTCCATGTTAGGATGAAGGCCAACAAGATAGCGCTGAGAGTCTGAGCTGCCTTCCTCTCCTTGATCAGCACCATCCTCTTCCTCTTGGTGATCTGGTTCTTCAGTGTGGCGTCTATGGTCTTCGCCGTCGAGGAGGTGGATGGAACGCTCATGGACTCAGCCGAGGAGAAAGTCGATGATGCCATTTTGGTGTCTCCATTTTTGATGTGGTTCTCCACGTCAGTGTCTTTGGCCACGGGCTTAAATTTGTAGGACACACACTTGCCGCTCTTCTGAGAGTTGCTTTTGGGCGGAGTCTGAAAGTAGCAATCCTCCACATAGCTACTAAGCTGCTCGCTCTCGCTGCCCACTCCGCTCTTGAGGGTCTCACAAGCCTGGTTCCTGAAGGAGGGTTGCAATCCCCCTGGTGACACTGGCCTGTCCTCGTCCTCTGACGAAGCGTAACTGTTGAAGGTGGTCAGCTGACCAGCTTTGGACCACTCGTCATTGGTGGTGGCTGCTGATTTGGCCGCATGGCTTCTGCTGGAGGAAGACCAAGAGGCTTGATTCCTGTCATGCGATGTTGACCTTAATTTACAGCTAAAACAGGATCCGACAATGGTCTTCTGAGGCGGGGGGACCCCAGGCTCGGTGGGATAGGTAATCCCCTGCAGCTCAGCCAGATCTTTGGTCCTTTTCTCAGTCTCCTTGTAGATTCGACAGTACAGAATTGTCATGACTGACACGGGAATGTAAAAGGCGGCGATCGCTGTCCCAAAGGTTATCACAGGCTCGGAGAGAAACTGGATCTGGCATTGCTTCTCATCGTCATTCCTTTTTCCGACAAAGTACTGCCAGCAGAGAATAGGTGGGGCCCACAGAACAAGTGACACCATCCACGCCAAACCTATCATGATGCCAGCTCGTTTGGGAGTCCTCTTGGCCCTGTAGGTCAGAGGTCTGGTGATGGAAAAATATCTGTCGAAACTGATTACCAAAAGGTTCATGACAGAGGCATTACTGGCTACATAGTCCAATGCCAACCACAGGTCACAAGCAAGGTTCCCTAAGGCCCAGTAGCCCATCAGTATATACGAGGTATACAGATTCATGGAGAAAACACCTATGATTAGGTCAGCAGCTGCCAGGCTCAGCAGGTAGTAATTATTCACCGTCTTCAGCTGGCTGTTGACCTTAAAGGAGAGCATCACCAGCACATTCCCTACAATGGTGATGAGGCTGACTATAGCCGACACGGTGGCAATGGTAATCACCTCCCAGAGACTGTGACTGACCGGGTATCCTGACTGATCCATTGTGGCATTTAAAGTTAAGTTCTGCATGCTATCTCCTTCTATTTTCTTCTGGTTTATTTGTATCCAACCATGACAAGAGTGTTGGGACTTTTCATTTTCAAGAAGATCTCCTGGTAAGAAAAGAAAGCAAAAATGTTAATCTGGAGCCATTCAGACAGAGATGTTCCATTTATAGCCACTGGATGGCATCAATTCATCATGTTGAGCATCACACACTCATGCTTGGCTAGATACTAAGGAGTAGGAACATTGAAAGGATTGTGTTTTGCTTTTTGAGACTTAATGTTTGTGTTTGGCATATATGCTTAACAAATGGATAGCATTTACTGTTGACAATTATATATCATGTTGGTGAAGGCTTGTTTTCTCTAATATTTGTTGCTCTCATCGTTAAGGAATTCTGTTAAGCTATTGTACTACATGCAGCTCACACAACTATATCAAGCTCATGTGAGTATACCCATATGGTGTTTTAGGCAAACATCTGTGGCACATTCAAATAAATCCAGGCCATTGCACAATTGTGTTATTTCTTTGCTCTAAATCTGTTCTGCTTGCATAAACTCAATTTGTAGTTCACTAAGATGGACATAACTTGATTAAACAAATTATGATAGTGATTTTGGTTTATTTGGTCCTTATGTCCTTTGTGCTTACTAGCTTTACTTTTAGGGTTCTTGACTAGGAATGTTTAACTAAGCAAAAATAAAACCAACTTTAGTCTAAATGAGCCAATACTATCAAAAGAGTCATTTAATGTGTTTGAACTCACAAATGCAGTTGGTGCCCAACTTAGAGTCTTGTGAATCATACAAATCTGCCTACGTGTCAAACTAGCTGCCAGCTAATACGTCAGCCATGCATACTATTTCTGCAGTGTTTACTAAATGTTTAAGAGTGATGGCCCTAAATGATCAAATGAGCAGATATTTTCTGAGTGGAAAGCCTGTGCAGTTCCATAGTTGTGCAATATATTCACTTTAGCAACAGAAGCATTTTCAGTTAGCATATGTTATCATTTCCCGCTTTAGAACAACACTTGAACTCCTAATTTTTAGAAACTTCCAGGTCTCCAAAATAATTACAGAGGTATGTGTATACAATTAAGTACATTAAGTAAATCTTGGGTTTTAAAAATCACAAGTATACCGACTCGTCTTGGTTTTACACAATGATTAAGCATTGTTGTCATGGGTGATTAAGCAGTGTTCATGCTCGGTGCAAATGTCTGATACTATCAAGGTGGTATATCACTTACATCAAACTACACACCCTGCACCATTAGAGGGCAGCCAACAACCTCCACACATAGAAACTAACATGAAAGCACAATTGGCCCCTTCACTCTCAGGTCATTACAGTGGGGTGCATGATATTTTTTATCCCAGGGTGCTGGACGCACCAATCGATAGTGGCTGGGGGTTTACACTCCTTTGATGGCAGCGCTTGTACACTCCAGGTCTTATGTGGGGATGGTGGGGGGTGGGGTGGGGACATGTAATGCTGTTTCTCTGCCCACGTGTGCCTGCGCACCAACACTCAAAAAACTACATTGAGGATTATTTCTGTGGATCTGATATTACTCAAACTTCACTGTTTGATGCTCCAAACAAAAAGTCTCTGCCTGCCTCCCTGTTTATGCCGGCGCTGTACCAGTGGTTTTTTAATAGCTGAGAAGCTTTTGGAAGGTCATGCACAGGGCGCAGATGCTGGGCTGTAAAACATGGCACTGAAATGTACAGATTTTAAGCAGAGCAAGTGGCACAGCTTAAAATACCAATGCCGTAATGTCCAGTTGGTTGAGGTATTCCCCAGGAGAGGAGTGAGGAAATGACACTGTAGAATAGTATACACAGAGACTAGCATCAAGCTCAAACATTGTATAGTGCCATCTTTGTTTCCCTACAGAATATAATTATTTGCATATGCAAATGTTACAAATAGTGGAATTGCACTCAAACCCAGGGGATTTGATGCTGCTTCAACACATTTGATAAAAACTCTCAAGGCAAGAGAAAGACCACATGGCACTGTCATGCATTTGTAGGTCATGAAAGCCAAGGCATCAAAGCATAAAAATGTGTTGTCCCCTGGGTTTGTTTCGAACACACGGGTCCAGGTTGGCAACTTCGTAGAACAAAGAACTTAGGTTACTAAAGGCTGGCTGTGTTATAGGGTCCCTGCAGTTTCCCTGTTGCATTGATCATGAAACAAAGGTTGCTGAAAAATAAAAAAATGTCTTCAAGCCCTTACTGCATGACCTATGAGTATTTTGCAATTCTTTTCCACTTAATCTCTTATTTCTCATGTACTAGGAAACACTCTCCTAACTGCTCTCTGTAGAGCTACTCCTTAAATTGTTTGCAATTTTAACCAAAAATGTATTGCTTTGGACAGCATCACTATCCGGTGAGAAATAACTTCCTCACTCATTGGCAATTGTTTGACAGTGCCAGGTTTGCAGGAGTGCTACCGACAGCCTGAAGCCCACACAAATAACATTCCAGTCACCATGGGGGTCCGCTTGCAGGACTTGTATCGGCTCTCATCTTGTTGTAAAAGGATATTTCAAATCACATCACTCAAAATCCCGACATCATAACACTGTTTAGTTTAGCATAAATCTATCCCCAGATCTATCTGCTATTTCCTGGTGAATAATCATTCGGTACCAATTGTTTACCTTCATAATGAATTAAAATGGTGTTGGTTTTTAAACTTAAGATATCGTTTTTTCCATTTAGCTGGTGGTTGGTGTTGCTACCTTGGTTGAAAGGTCCCCCACTTTAGTCTTCGGTAAAATATAGAACTATTGGATCAATTACATGACATTTAGTGAAGATATTTATTGAACTTTGTATTGTTAAAAAAAACACCAGAGACACATTTCACTAATTGTGCCTTTTAAATAGTAAACATCTGCTTGTTGGCATTGTAATTGTTAGCATGTTAGCATGTGGACGTTAGCATGCAGATGTAAGCATGTAGCTTGAACATCAAGAGAAGCCTCACAGAGCCATTTGTTTATTTTGTATATACAGCGTAGCCACTCTGAAGTGTTCAATGATTAATTTAAACTGTACGGACATACAGTAAGGCAGTGTTGTAGGAATTAAACCCAAATACCCCAGTGGGTATAAAAATAGTCCAGGCATATGTTCCCTTATCCAGGACAAAAAGGCTGAACCATCAGTGATTAATTTTGATGCCACAAAAAAGTAAAACAATAATGATAGCAGCAGGAATTTGAGAAACATAGAAATTGCTGACTCACTGATGACTGTTGTGTTGCTAAGCTTTCACACCCACAGAAAATACTTATACCTCCGGACCTCAACAGGTGAAGCAAGTCAAGCTTGCTAATAGCTTCTAAATCGAGGCAGGAAGTGTTTTAATGGTACACTCAGAGTGTGGGTTAAATATGGACTCTGCATTACTATAAATAGTGCATATGGTCCGGTGTGGCCTCTAGTTGGACTTTTCAGGGATGCAGTTTGGAATCAAATGTATCCTACGGTGGGGGAGAGCTTTGTGAGGCTGTCTGGGTCAGAGGAAAGGGGGAGGTTTTAAAAACAAAAGCAATGCTGCAGAATTTCGTAGCACATCGCCTATATTGGGATTGGGTTATACAGCGTATGAGGATAAAATACCCTTGAGGCCATGTAATGGTGCAAAGAGGTCTTGCATTCACTCTTGCCCAGAAAACTCATTACATGTACATCCTTAGAGTATAGACTGCCTCCTGAAATATCTTGTTAGCTCTGTATGCATAAGTGATGGTCATTGATCCACTGATTAACAGTGTCCAGTCGGTGAGGCAGGTAGCACAAATCGGTTCAGAGCCTTCACACTGAGTGCAGAGGTGGACATGTTGAAGGGTGGCTTCCTGCAGGTCCTCTGGCACCTGGCCACCAGTGCTCCTGCTCAGGCCCCACTCACACGGGAACGTTTGCGTTTATGCACAGTATGCGTATTCAAAAAAGTCTTCCGTTCACATGCATTCGTTTCATTTAACGTGTCTGTTCAAACGAGGCCGCTGGAAACGCTGTAGTACATATGCCGTGGCGCTGTAACTTCCGCCAAATTACACCAAAAGCAGCGAAGAAGAGCAGCCCGAGCAGCCCCGCCGCAATGTTGCCATGGCTACCCTTCTGTTTATGCCCCGCGGTGTATTTAGCAACATGTAGTTCATGTAATTCTCCATGTCCACTTGTTGCTGATGGTTGTGGTAGAGGAGCTGTAGATTTTGCACTAATATCTGTAGCATGGTCAGTAGCAGTAGCACTAGCAGTAGCTACTGACAGGAGGAAGTGTGTGTGGCGATTGCTGGTATTCAGCGGGATATAGTAATTTCCTCAGCATGTAAATATATGGATAAATGCAACGGGGAAGTTAACTGAAAGAAACCGAATCTGTGGATATTGCATCGACCGACCAAGAAGCACGTCTCCGTGGAGAGGACCCGCTCAGAAAGAGAGATATTCTCTACAAACACCGGGTGAGATCGCTCCTTTGTCAATATAATGGATCAATGCATGAAATCTGACTCTGTTTATTTTGTTTAAGGAGTATATTGGGCGTTAACAATTCTGGTTTGCCTTTTATAATATTATTTCATTCAAGAACCCCTTGTGCGTTTAATTAACACAGCTATTTTTGATAGTTGCTACAGCAGTGAGCAGGAGAGGTGGGGAGAGGCGGGGCTATCGTTATTTTTTCAGGAAATATTCGTATAGAGGTGATTACACGGACTCTGTTGACCCCCCAGAGCGTTTCGTTTGCAAATCTATCCACCTTGGGACCCGTTATCGTTTGTGGGGTCAGTTTCTATCGGCCTCGTGTAAATAATAGGGCTATACGCACGCGAAACTATGCAGATAAAAGCAGTTTTCTCCTCGTGTAAACGGCGCTCAGTGGCTTCATACACCGGCCCCCCACCAGGCCCCCCAGTCATACCTTGTTCTACACTCTCCTTTGTTTGGAAACACGAAAGCAAAGAGAGCGCGCATGTGTGTGGCATTTGTGGAAGAAAGGGAAAAAGATAAGAGAGACCAGAAGAAGAAGAAGAAGTAGGAGAGAGCCAAAGAGATGCAAGTCAAAGCAAAGGAGGCAAAGGACGCCATGTGTGTCTGCGTGGAGAGCAATCTATGTATGATGTGCAAATCAGCCCAGAGCTTTTTGGCACAATAGTTCTTGCATCCTGTAGTCAGCAGCACTGACCCATGGTTAAGATTCCTGCATATGTGTCTTTCTGAATGAGGACACAAGAAATGCTTGAATAATTATGTGAATCAGGCATTGGAGGAGAAGCAAAGAGGATTATAAATGTTCACATGTAAGATCCGGCTCCTAAACATGCAACCTGAAATATTCATAAGTGCGTCACTGTGGGTGGTACACGATGTGTACTTTTCTTCTTTTTGTGTATTTAGAGCCTAAATATTGTACGCCACTAAAACTGAGTTTAAATCAAGTAAAAACTTGAAAAACATTTCCTCTCCGCTGGGAAATGGTAATCAGATGAATATTATGATCTGCTAAAGGACACCCTGCAGTGGGTTTGGCAGCTGCTGAAGGGCATACAACGAATTTGCTTAATGCCTCGAGGAGTTCATTTTTATGAGCAACAACAACATTTCATTAATGATCATCGTTTGGATAATGATCTAGCTATGAAGTCATTTGCATTTTCTTTAATGAAGAGTTCTCTAAATGTGAGTGTCTTTCTCTGTTTGAGCCTCTGGGTTGTCTGATATCACCAACTCATAACACGCCCAATCTTCTCCGTAATGATGTCTGCAAAAACAAGGGTAATGGTTGGAATAACCTCCATGCTGTTCAAATATTAAGTTTCAGTTATGGTTGGAAGTAAAGCACTTACTCAGAAACACATGAACATTAAGCTACTATCTCAGTTTGATAATATAGTTCAAATCTAGCTAACTGTCTGATGCTGTAGCATTTCCCTACAGGACATTTGCAAAATCACATTTGAAAAAGACAATTTACGGGTCAAATTGCCAGTCAATGCTAGTGGTCTACAATCCATTCACGATTCTTCCAAACCAACCATTTCATTTTATGGCGGCTACTTTTTATTTGAAAAGAACCCCAGAACCTTTGTTCATTGGTTGAAGCACCTCAGAAAATCTCTGGGGACTGGATGGACTCGTTAAAATCACGCTTCACTGCTTAATCCTTCCGTGTTTAGTCATTTCCACTTAATCAACGAGAGAGGGAGAAATTAGGTGAGAGCAATGTGCTTTAGCTTTTGAAAACATTTTTTTTTGTTTTGGGAAAAACAGGAATTTAAAATATCAGAACCAGCAAATTAAAAGAGGATAGCATTTTTGAATTGTTTAAGATATTTTTAAGACAACAAATTGACAGGAAATAGGAGTAAAGGGTAGGTAAAAATAGGTTAGGAGAATATATGAAATAGAAATAAGTGGAAGAAGGATGATGGTATAAAATATACATGCTGCTATATGGGGAGGCTTACAGACCCTCAAACACAACACAAACACACACTCAATGTCTTTAGAGATAAGCTTAAAATAGGCTTTAACATGTATCTAATTTGTGATTTAATAATACACTTTTCTATATAAAGTCTGCCAGAAGAACAGATGCACGCACATCTTTCCGGCAGCACATCCTCTGTTGCCTTCATTAAGTAAAAGGCTACATTAAAAATACATGCCGAGACCTCTCAGACATGCACTTGTGCACACATGACGCTGTTTCCCCTGAAATCCAGGTCATGCCTTTGTGCATTAATCAAAAAGGGCATACTCAATCAATCATGATTCTCTGACTGCGAAACAAGTCACTGATGTAAAGGGGGGAAGGGGGAAACGAAAGATGAACATACTCACAGTAGACTTTCATCAGTTTCACAGTCTCCTGTTTAAGCGCAGGTTGTGTATCCTGTTGAGAGTAAAGTTCACGGTTAATCCCTTTGTTTTGCCTGGGAAGCCTTCAGGTCAAGTGTGGCGCTGAGGATCACAACACAGTTGGAGAGAGGATTGAGGTGGATGCGAAAATCCTGCCGACTTGACCCTCGCATGCCAGAGGAGTCCGGGGTACAACTGTGAGAGGAGAAGAGAGAACGAAGAGGAGGAGGAGGAGGAGGGTGGACAGCCAGGAGGATTCGGTCATCCCTGTTCAAGAGGCGCAGAGCACAGCATCACGTTCCCTTTGGCCATTCAACGCAGGCAACTCGATGAGTAAAGTATCCTCAAGTTGCAGCATCCTTTGGTTATTCATAAATGAGTATAATCTACCCAGGAACCTAAGAAAGAGGACAGGAGAGAACTTTCCTCCCAGTCTGAGCTGAGCTTGATGAACTGCCTCTCAGCCAAGTTGAAGCAGAACGTCAGCGAGAGGCTGCCTGACGCCTGAGTCCGGTCACTGCTACTGCCACTCTGCTCCTGCCGCTGCTTCTACTCTGGCTGACACACACGGATGTAGCTGACGTTGGCTTGCTGGGTGGAGAAATTCCCATAGGGCTGAATGGTTCATCGTGTTTCGGGACTGTGCATGCAGTTTAGACCACAGAGTGTGAGAGGGAGGAAGGAGAGGGAGGGGGGAGGATGAAAAGGAGGTGGCTTGGTGGCTTCTTAGGGGTTCTTTTAGGAAGGTGTGGGCGGAAGAAGGGAGTGTGTGTGTGTAGGTGGTGGTGGTGGAAGTGAGGGTGGTGTTTAGTCCGAGCAGTCAAGCCGAATCCTGCTTTTGTGTGGTTGTATCAACCCATTAATTACCTCCAATGGCATGTCTTTTGTGTGTGTTTGTACGGAAAAGCAAGAAGAGACAGTGTTGGAACAGCATATCAGCCAACTCATCTGCAGAGCATAAAACGCCTCTGCTGCCTTTGTGCTCCCATGGGAGAGCGCTGACATGGCTGGGCCAGATAAGCACACTACTGAAGTGACAGATGTTTTTTATTGGGACATTTGTATGGGTGTTTGTGTGCGAGTGCACGTGTTTATACTGCATTGTGCTGATTGGAAAATGATTCGTTTAGCATCCTGGATTGCTATAAAGTCCTTATATGTTTTAATACAGATGATGGCTGCTGATTGGTCCCATAAGCTCCCATCATATCAGATGAGAGATGCACTAATAAATCCAGTTGCTGCCACAATATTACTTTGAATTATAGAACACACGGGAGGTATTGTCCCTCTTTTTAATTTATGGCTCTGGATTATATTCACAAGGTCACAGGACAAAGCTGGCTCTTGATACGGTACTCGCTCAGAACGGTCATTTATTGTGTAGTCGAATAAAGGAAATATGAGGGGTTGTGGAAGGAATAACTAACAGGGAAATAAGAAAATAAATGTCTGTTTATTTGTTCAGACTTTTCTCAAACCTTTGCTTTCTTCAGGGTCATTTCAAATCTAAATTTGCTTGAAACTATTTGGAATACAATGAGTAAGTAAAGTGTACTTTTATAAGGTGTTTCTGAAAGACAAAAGAAGGACACAAAATAGAGAATAATAAAGAAAAGAACATAATAACATTTGCCAATTATTATAATGTAGAAATATGTTAAAGACCCTCTGAAGAGCTGCTCTGTGTGGAAGCTGCTTAGTGCACTGTAGATAGACGACACTCCCCCATCCTTCAATTTGACATTTGTCATAATGCAGCTCTAACCCATGATATTGCGACCATGTCCGAGCTATATTCCAATGACATGATTGATGCGTTTCATGAAATCCCTGTCACGTCTGTTCCACAGAGCAGCGTCTATGCCTCACGCCCCTCCACCCTGCCTGACAGTCTAATCTAATGCTATCTCCAGGCAGCTGGCCAAAGGACAGACACCTGGCTCATCATTACCGTTGAATCGCTGACCGACACAAAGTTTAGAGCATCGTCATGTTTTTTATGTGAGACATCCACACATTAACACTTAGAGCTGCAGGTTCTCATATCGTGCTTTACAAGCCCATTCATATTGATTATATTTTTGAAGATGTCTTATTGATTAAATCACAAAAGTCAATTAGAAGTAATGTCAAGCTTATGTGTTATTAACTTTCTCATTACAACTGATCAGTACCTGAAATAAAGCTTGACCTTTAACATTAAGCCCACACAAAATTATAGTTTTTCAATACACTTAACCTAAAAGTGCTTTACCTTCCATCTTTTTTTTTTGGTTTCGGTAATCCTTGCCTCATCCTCTCTGGAAAACAATACTCACAGGTTATCTAACGATAGCAGATGTCAGGGAAGCACTGCTATCATTTTCTGCTCATCTGCATCCTGGAGGAATAGCAGCTTTTGCACAGGTCACTGTCTGATCACCGCATGCCTGTGAGAGAGACAAGATGGGAGAGGACATCAACACAGCCAGGGATGGATTGCATCTGTCCTCAGTCCACAGGGGCTTGCTTATCTTCCGACCCAATTGTGCACCCATATGCTGGAGGAAAAATAGATCAGTTTTTCGATTTTTCCTCCTCAAAAAGTGTTTGTGCTTTAGGCAATAGATGTTTCCAGAATTTAAACTAATACATTATCTTTATTTAGCTAAATACTGCCCGTGGGTTTTTGATTTGATTTGTTATTTGCCAAATTAGCTTGCATCACTATAAACAATAAAGCTCCAGCAGAAAAACCTGAATCAATCAATAGCTCACTCTGGAGCCCGCTTTAATCTTGTTGATCCCCGGCAGCATACGTGTCTCTCCACACTGCTGAAAGGATCGAATCTTCTGATGTCCTTCTCCTATCAAAGCTTTGATGTGCAACAATGTTTATCTGCCGTCGTGCCTGCCTATTCCTTTTCTTTCTGTCTCCCTCCGTCCCCAAGCAACAACTCCTTTTTGACATAATGATTTGCCAGTTCCTTGTAGCCTACTGTTTCAGTGAATTTACAAGTCCCCCTACTGTGGAGCTCGCTTTTATCCTAGAGTATAAAAGATTGCTTTCTCAGATGATAAGACACACAGGGTGTTTTTGTTTTTCAAGACATTTGCTGCATAAAATACCTTTTTGAATACTCTGACCGTTGTGAGATTTCTAAGGAAGTTATCCAACATTTGATCAAAGCTATGTTAAGGATATGAATCGTACCAAAATTAGAATAAAGAAGCAGTGTCCTCGTCACGGAGAAACAGCAAATGAGCAGCTTTCTATGTACCAATGAGGCAGGGCTGGGTGGCACATGAGCTGTCCCTCGTAACAATGCAACTTTAATGTCGCCGTGACAGAGGAGATTAGGTGGAAAGCTGCTTTGAGTGAGCTGTTATTGTGGACCTGTGGGGACATCCAACACCGACTCCTCTGACACTCCTACGTCAACAACATGACCTTGTCTGAACGTGACCTGGGCTAACCTATGCATGTATGAGCATTCATGCGTGTTTGTGAGGAAAAATGGTCCCTCTGTAAACCATGGTGGTAAAGATAAGATCCTTAGCGGTGTGAATATTTTGTCCTCAGCACATAATCATGGTTAAGGAGCCACGTACTGTACATGCACTTTCACCCTGAATAAAGCGTATTTAAGTTGATTGGACAGCAAAATAGTAAAATAATTTGAGTTATTCATCCATGGATCGCAATGATATTATTGCCTACATTAGGCATTATTTGGTACATTATTTTTTGTTTCTTTCCCTTTTTCACATTAATTAGACAAAAAGATACTACTTTCATGTCTACTTCAACAGCTAGGTAGCCTAGCATAACAATAGCATTGGAAAGGGGGGGATGGGGCTACCCTACTCAATTTTTTCTCTTTCACTTGCACTGCAACCCTGATGTTATCTAGACATTGGTCAGTGGAGCTGATCGCAAATGTCCGAATCATTTGGAAAAGGCATCAAATGGATTTTACCAGCTGGTTATTATAAAATCTGTAGAAAAAAATCACCTACCAGCTGTAATGTAAATACATGATACATTTTATATTTTTGGTTTGGGCTGTACAAAATCTAGGTTTACATTTTATTCGGACAGGTACTAGCTGTCTGTTTGCCTACCTTAGATAATTACACTAGCATTTGTGAGCTGTAATCTAAAAAGTAACCACCATTTTTATCTATATCTAAATAATTGAATTAAAGAACAAATACAGGGAATAAAGAAAGTGAATTCCTTACAGCACATGTGAACACACAACTTTACAATGGTATATTTGTGAAAAGAAAATAAGAAATGAGCACATCTGGATTAGAGTTTATTTCCAATTTCACGCTAATGACATCACTAACACGCCATTGTCCTCTTTTAGGCAGGTTAGTGACTCACGTATAAGCTGATGTGCATACTGATGCAGATCCTGTTGAGGACACTGTGTACGCTGAAGTCCAGACTCCCTCCCTATCAGGTCGTCCAGTCACCATCTGTCTGAATTATTGGTCACTATAAAGGGTGTCAAGGCTTCAGATGAGCTCGGCCATTGCCGCAGAGAATCTTATCAGCAGTGGCCAAATTTCCACCGTTCGGAGAGAGAATTTTTTTTAACACCTTTTCAACAAAGCTTGTCCCAGCTTGCCCCCAGAAAGACAGAGTGGGAGAGAAAATGGAGTGAAAATAATTGATAAAAGGTGTTCAATATCTGATCTTTCTCTCCTGCTCTGCTTGACTATCTGGGCACCGGCACGCTCTCACATTGGGGGGACTTTAGAGGGATGTCTGTGTCTTTTTAATTACTGCAATTTTACAGGACCACCTGCTGAATGTCTCCATCTGCCCCTCTCTGAGGTCAGAGATGGAAAAATCCTGTAAGAGAGAATGTATGACATTCAACCTTCAGAGAAATAAATCCATCACATGATCATCCTCCGTGGACAGGTCTAAATCTATTCAATTTTAATTCTCACACTGATGTAAAAAAACAGAGTCTGGTAATGCATTAGACAACATCTAAGATTACTTTGTTTCTGGTGTCCATCCCCCAGGTCATTGTTCTAATTTTCTTTATGCATCCTCTAATACAAGGGGTCATGTCTCATGCAATATCCTGAGGTATTATACTATGTTTCAGTGATTTTACTATTTCTCACTGTACAAACATCTTTTACGCCACAAGGTACACTTTCTGCTCATGCCGCTTATGAGAGATGACAGTTTTCTCTGAAAGGCGAAGTTTAGCAATCATGACCTCTGCTCAGGCAGCTGTGAATAAATAGATGTAACATTTACACTATTTACACTGTACAGAATAGACATGTTAACATTTAATAATAACATTAATAGTTATACTAATTTAGTAAGCTATATTCATCTATTAAAGATAAAGATGATGTCTTTTTTGAAACATGGTATTTGTTTTCTGCTTTTTTTCTCAAGACAATGAGATGAGAAGACTGATACCACTATCAATTCTGTCCATTTATTGTGAACCACCAGTAGAGACAGCAGTCAGTTAGCTTAGCATAAACACTGGAATC